GATTTGTGTTTCTGTAAAATTCCTTTGTATTTCTGTGTGTTAAATCATTTAACAGCTATTCATCTATATATACATCTATATATATACAAATCTGGGGCGGTTAATCTATGCTAAAGTTACCTATACATGTAAGCTATTTACATCACAACCTACTCTCTAAGTTTATGTACAATCGTCGTTGGTTTCAGTCACTTTAGCAATTCTCATACGTGATCATCAAGTTGTCCGTGATCAGCAAGTCTTGATGAGCTGGCAACAAGTTGCTGCAACCGCCTGGATCTTCTAGATTCTTCAGGGATGTCACTGGATCAGCTCTGATGCATGCGTGTGCATGATGTTCCTGTGCAACCTTTGCTGAAGTGGCGTGATACTTCAACACTTAGACTTGTGCGCACAGCGCTAGTGAGGTTCATAGTTAATTATAATATAGAGCTCCTAGATACACCTGTACCTAGTTTGAAATTCACTCGCTCAAAAAGGGGTAAAAAAAAAAAAACGAGATTTTAAATCTTCAATTTCCGGATATTCCTCCTAATTTTCAGCCATCATTAATCATATCCAACTTCCTATTCCAATCCAAAGACGTCCCAAACAAAATATAAAAAAAAAAAATCCAAAAACCAAATATTCTCTGCGGCGATTTGGCATCAAAACCTCTCGTCAGTGGTATTTTTGAAGATTAAATCCGATTGTGCATCAAATCCTGTGAGTTTAGTTGCAATATACGCTGCTGAATATGAGAATTACGATAAGTTTGAGATTATTCATCTGTTTTGTATTTTGTCCGGTGAATCTTGTTTGAAATTCTCAGAATCTTTCATGTAAAGAATCAGTTTTATGTGTTTACTCCATGGATCCAGTTATAAGAATGATTTTTTTTAATACCAAATCATCCATGTAGATAGCAACGATTGAGGATCCTGGTTTAAATAGAAGCAGTTCGGAAAGTGAAGATGAAGAAAGGTAATATTATTAATCTATTCAACAATTTATGCATTTTTTGGATGGGTTTTGTTGATTTAGGGTATATGCATTCGATTATAGATCTTAGTTCATCAGTTTTTAAGTTTTTTTTTCATCGTATTTGCTGTGTTTGTGGAAGATACTAAAGATCTGGGCGTTATTCATTAGTTCGTATTCAATATTTATCCTTGAAACACGTAGATTTAAGGTTCACACATTCGTTTATAGATGGTTGTGCACCAACTTCTTAGATTTATTCATCCATTAGTTGTTGAGTTTGAAGGGTTTTCCATTGTTTCACTAGCCATCAGTTATCCAACCATTATTCATCGGTATTAAAGGATTATTCATCATAATAATTGCGTTACGCGATTGTTATTCATTATTTTAGTTGTTGTTATTTATTATTTTAGTTGTTGTATATTAATTACAGTCTAACTGTTCATCAACTATTCTTTGTTATTAAAATAGTTAGGCTATATTTATCCATTATTCATCATTGTTGTCTTGATTACTCATCATTATAATGTGTGATTAGGAGCGAAAATGTGATTTTTATAAAAAAAATTCTATATATTCATCATTGTATTGTGCTTTTTCATTTTTTAGTTTTTTTTATTCATCGTTACTGCAACAGTATTCATATGTAAGGGCTGAATATTCATATGCTTGTTCATTAGTATTAGTATTATTGTTCATCAGTTGGTGTTCATCACATATATATGGTTATTCATCAAGTGAATTTCAATTATTCATTACAAACAAATGTGTTATTCATTTGTTTATTAATGTTATCTTTTCTTGACATAATGTATTAGTAAGGATAGAGGGAAACAATCAGAGGTTGAAGCAAGTAGAATCACTGGAACTGAAAGAATCCCATCACCAGCTGAAATGTTCATCAAGATGAATTCGATTGGTTGGTAATCAAATATTTTTATAGAGTTGCTGAAATCAAACAATCAACATAAAAGTATCGAGCATCGGCGAATCATTCAAGACCTTATATGTTAAAAACAATGATTTATCTTTTTGTTCATTTTTTGTCTAGTATAGTGCATAATTAGAAGTTTGTTAGCTTAGTTGCTGATATTAGTTTATTGTAAAATATATTCTTGTTAGTTTTTTTAATGAAAGTTATTCATTTTGTTGCGCATTATTCATCCACTAACGACATTTTATTCATTCATCAAGTTACAATTATTCATCAAATAAAGTCATATCTATTCTTCATTCTAGTGTTGTTATTCATCTAGGATGGGATCATTATTCATCAAAATTTATTTCGTTATTCATTTTTGTAAATATCATTATCCATTTCAAAATTTAAATTTATTTATCCATAACTTTATCATTATAAAAACACAATTATTCATCAACAATATTATTATTATTCATCGATAAGTATACCATTAATCATCCAAACAAATATCGTTATTTATTAAAATCTTTTAAATTTGACCCTTAATTCTCCAGATTCCATGTTAATCAGATAAAATTTTTTGCTGCAATTGATTCTCTGGATTCATAAGTCTCAATAATGAACCATATTCAATTTTACCAAAATAAAATTCATCGTTATAAAAAAAAATTTCTCATAAAATAAAATAAATAAAAAGGCTAATAGGATAAGATCTGGAGATTTAAAACGTGTGCTAAAAAAAAAGGGGATAAAATCTTGTGGTTTTAATGCAATTTTAATGCGCGTTTGATATGGACTACCAACTCCACTCTCTTTTGCCAATTTTGTAATACACACATTTCTTAGGTATACATTGCAAAGTGTACCTAGATGCTTGGTATTATTTGTTGGTTCTTGATAGTATACAGTTTTTTTTTTTTTTTAACTATGTATGACTTTAAAATATTTTGTGGATGGATTACATTTATTATTATCTCCTTTTCAAAATATAAGTTCACTTTTAGTGGAAGAAATACTAAATGTTAATTATTAAAGAAAAAAATTTAACCACGATTAATAACTAGTTGTCTTGGAAAGTAGTTATGTACAGTGGGTTAGTGGTATATTATAGAGGCAATGATAATTTAAGCAAAATAAATAAAATTATACATTTGGATACAAAGTGAAGTTATATTTTGACATAACCAATAATAAAAATTGAATTTACATTTTGAAAGGAGAAAGTACATTATTTAGCTATCCTATAACGTATGTACATAACAGAATTTGAAGGCATTGATATCAATTTAAACATGTTTATTTAAGAGATATAATCAACCATAATCTTATTTTTTTTATTTCTTTCGGATCAAATGGTGAACATGATTTTATGTTTTCGGGTTGTTCCGGAACATTCTTTGGATCCTCGAATTCGTGTTCACAATCCCGAAATTTATCACCTTTACCTGATGATCATGTTCAAAATTAATAATTGTCGAAAAAAAATTATCAGGAATTAGGAATTCACCTTCGTCAAGCCCATTCCACACCTTGATAGATGAAATTAAGCACTTACGAAAAGGATTCTTTTTTTCGAGGATAATTCTGTGCGTAAAAATAAGTTAGTGGGGGAATCAATTTATATTAATACAAGGTTATTTTGCTTAATCTAATTAAAGTGTTAAAAATCACGTCATAGAACTTGCGTAATACTATTTCGGATCAACGCCATCACTCTATATCCATAAAAGAGAGGTTGAGCGGATTGTGAGGTGAAAGAAATGGAAGATGACATGATATCAACCTCTTCATTCTTATGCATTTGGAATACTAATTGGAGACTTTATTTCGTTTTCTTCTTCTCATACTTCGACATAATCTACTTAGAAAATTAAAAGTAAAACTTGGCTTTATTGTTAAACGAATAAGATCTTACAATCTTAAAGATTACTTCTCTTTAACCCCCCAAAAAAAAGATGTAAGACAGAGACTAGACACACAATTATTTATGTCCCTTTTATATTATATATTTCATATTGACTTGACTCAACTGAATAACTTCAAAGCCAAGACGTTACTTTTTCCTATAAGGTAATCAAACTCTTAATTATTAAGAATCGTTAAACATGTATTTTCCATCGTTATAGAAAGTGGTCTTCTTCGTTACCATTAATTTGAAAGATTAAGAAACATACTTCTCTCTTTTATATACTCTTCGATTCTTAATTAAAGTTATTTTGATTAATCTTAAATTTTATATAGTACATATGTTCTTTTAATTAAAATTAATTTTAAAAAATATTTTATACTAATTAAAAGAACACAATAAATGTTATACTTTCAAATACACATACATCTCTACTCTTAGACACATACTTCTTTTTCGCTAGTTTGGCTTTGGTATACGCTGGGCAATTAAAACTGAACTACTGAAGCGTTTCAGTTTTATTTATTTTGTCATAATTTCATTCCGGCACTTTTTTTTTTTTTGGTCACGTAATCCAAAAAAAATGGGAAAACATTAGGCTTGTTTTTTTTTTCGTTATTTGAAAGTATGAAAGTTGACCATACAAAGTGGGGATCGGGGGAGGAAAGAAAAAAAAAATGTTTTCTGAAAAACTGAAGTTTTTTTTGAAAAGCTACATGTATCTTATAAAAAGATATCTATGTTATTACAAACATTCTATTATATAATAGGTTATACAATTGTACAATATTTTGTCTACTCACTTTATTCAGGTACATGACTGAAAAGAAGAAATGGTGATATTCAGTAAAGAGACCACCTTTTGGGCCTCCGAAGGTACATCAAGGAATAGCAAATTTCCGGTAAGAGATTCACAATCCGTATAAACTATAAGACTAATGATACCTAAATTTGCTGTTTCTTTCAAAACCAAAAGACACGTCATTGCCTTCGACTAAAAAGGAAACCGTTTTGATTTGCATCACCATCCCATGTAATGATATTATCTTTCATGCTCTAACAGCTTTCCTTGATTGGTGACTGAATGAACCATCAAATACGACTAAAACGTCCGTTGGACTCCTATTCGGATTTAGTTAGAAGGTAAGGTTTGAATTTTTATTTTTTTTAAACAAAAAATAGTTTAAAAGTAGACCAAATTGTTGCTTCTCCTGCCATTTCAGTAAAACCCAAATATTCAAAAAAAAAAAGTAAAACCCAAGATATTTAGCCCTAGATTTTCTTTGACTTTTGGTATTGCCGTAGGTACATTATTTATGAAAGTACGTTGACTTTTGGGCATGATGATTCTGATCAAAGAATGATAGTCAAAAAAGGAAATAAAGTTAAAAAGCAATCAAGAAGACGAGAACGAATCTAAACAGACTTCCAAGCTCAAAGATAGTTGTGTCTTGGTGTCTTTGCTTGTGCATTTTGGCTCAACATTTTTCGCTTTTTGAGTTGGTTTTCCTTTTGCTTCCCGTGTGTCATTTACAAAAGCTAGACGAAAGTCCATTCTAATGCTACAAATATTTACAAAGATCGAAGACTTTATGTTGATGTTACTTTAAGATCAAACAGTAACGTACTTCAAATCAACTTTCCGTTCTTAAGCACACCAAGAACTCTTCACCGAAACACAAACCTTCATGGACCATTCCCATTTTCGCCAACAGCAAACCGATTGTTACTAATGCTCAAGCCACCAGAATGAAGCTGTTTGCGCTTCTTTATCAGGTTCCCAGCAGTTTTCCTGTCATCAAGCGCCTCCTCTGAATCTGGCTGCAGTATCACAGATACAACTACCTCGTATCAGAAAATACGACAAGGATATAGCGCATTTTAAGCACTGTTGAACCTCAGATACGGTAAAAGAACATATTCTACTTAGTCATGTCCAGTTAGATGCTGATAACGTCAGATAACTAGGAAAAGAATGACCATTGTAACTTTAGCAACTTCTATTACACATTATGATTCGAGTTGCAAAATATTTGTCACCTTGAAAGAATGATCACAATAAATAATACCTTAATAGCTAAAGCTCTGTCGAAACTCTCGATAGCACTGTCAGGCTCCCCAAAGTTCAACTGTGCTCTACCAAGGGTGATCCAAGCCTAAAGAAAATCGAAGTGTCAAAAGGAATTAAATAACTGTAAACTGTGATTTCACATAAATACGAACAAATTGAAGGGATTCTAACGTGATTTCACAGAATGATCACATCTATGTGATTACACAGAATGACCACTCAAAAAAGTTCAATGGAGGCACAAACAAAACTCAGGAAGCCAAATCAAAGCACAAGTTATAACAACATAGATTAAATAATTCATATCCATTTTTGCTTCCTTTTCCACCAAACTTCCTGAAAAGAAACTTCTTTTTTTGGGTCCATCGAATTAGATCGACCCAAGTTTGTCAGATCTCAACGCCAATTGAAATCAGGAGTAAGATTAGCAAAAAGCATCAGTATGACATAAAAGGTTGGAGTCATCAAAATTATTCGATTTCAAAATGAGAACAGGTTTCAAAGCTTAGTGCAATTTTTCTGATAAATGTAAAAGTTCAGAAAAAGAGAAAGAAAAACCAACCATGCAAAAGTCTCTAAATATAACTTGTATCTTACAAGGAATACTGAATATGAAATCAACCGATTTTAAGCATCCAGTTCAAGCATTAATTTTTTATTTTTATTTTTTTTACTAAAAAAAAAAAAAGTTAAAAAGTTTTAAGTACATGCAGAGCAACTAAAGAATTGAGATGATAATCTTGTAAAAGAGATCCAGGTCTGAGACAAACAACATTAGGTAACTGATAGTACAGTTAACATGGTCCAGAGACAGCACTGATCCTGTCATTGGTGCCATCCTACCAGCCACCATAGAGATTTACAGAAAAAGCAAAGTTTAGATATAATGTCAAGCTTCCGTCTAAAAAGTACTATATGTGTGGGGGTAAGTAATCACGTGCGAGCAGGGTAGACCCATTATCAGCATCTGGTTAATTCACTCAATAAATATCTCATCTCCAAACTGCAAATAGCTGTTATCAGTTTCAGAGCATTGGTATTGGAATAGTCAAAATTGTAATGCAAGCTGGACATTCCACTGACTAATTGCACACATTAATCTAGTCATAGGTTCAGGCAACTAAGGCTTAAAGGAAAGAAGCAAAGTCAAGGTCAGTGACCTAGAGGAACCTTACCATTACCATCTATGAAAGAGTAATAAAAATAATTAGAGAAGGAAGAACTACAGATAGTTGAGTAGGACAAACCTCTGCCCACGTAGCTTCTAGTTCAGTGGCCCCTGCAACATGGATAAAGAAACTAATCAGAAACAGAAGATCAGAAATAAATTTTAGAAAGCTGATAAACATATGCAGGGAGTCAACTCTATATCTAAAAGAACAAAATCGCAGACTTAATATTGTCTTTGAAGCAGAAGAAAGCAGCTATGGCTGGTAACACAAAAATTGGATGGTAGCACAAAAGGTCAAGGCAGGGTATGGCACAAGGACACATAAGAAGAAATATGAAACATACGAGTAGCAGCTTTTACGGAACTCCATGTTTCTCCCAATTCAAGTAGGACCTGAGCCTTTTGCTCATGTAAGACTGCACGTTCTGGGGTCAAAGTGATAGCAGACTCCCACTTTCCCAGTGCTTCACGGAAATGCCCATTCTTCAAATGAAAATAATGCGTGAAATCGGTCATTCGCAAAACAAAAGAAGTTCTACAGACAGCAAGTCCCTACTCCTTTGAAGTTCAGAAGCTCAGAGACAGCTTGTATTTGCTGAAAGAAGGAAAATCTAGTAGCAAGTAATCACGAAAAGGAACCATATCTGCAAAGGCATTGATATCGCCCAAAGACGATGAAACGACAGGGACAAAAGATACCATCCTAACAATATGCATGCTGGAAAATTAAAAAGCACATGAACCCCTCAAATACAATTTTACTAATATATACAATATTGTTTTCCGATGAAGATACACAGGTCGCGATATTCACTACAGTCATTGCAGAATATTACAATGAACAATAGCCATATAAAATTGCTTTGTAACATTCAAATTAGGTCATGTATGACTTCTCCACAATTAATTATTTCAATAGAGACACTTTCATTTCTGAAACTCTATATTAAAAGCGATTAGGGATATGCAGAGATAAACATGCAGTAAAAGCTGAAATGCTTTTCTTTTGTACATCAAATCAACAAACCCTTCTCCGGTCAGCAAAGTTTTAAATTATTACAAGACAATGCATGAAAGATTTAGGAGTTTTCTCTTTCTAAATTGACAGCGGCTGCTGTTTCTTTTTTAAAGAACGAAAGGTCTATTTAGCAAGATCTCTTATGTCTAAGGGCAAATAACTTCCAAACCCTGAACAATGAAGAGTAGGTTATATTCAGAAAACCTAGCAACATTGTGATCAATAAAATGTTGGTGGTATACATATTCAAACTTTGATCATCGTGCAACATCAATAACAATCATCAGTTTAAACTACACTGCTCCCTAAATTCGAAACAAACTACACATGTATTAGTACTCGAAGTCTAACTATTTGAAGAAGGCAGCAACTAGGCTTTCATCGCCTCTGATGCAATGGAAATAGGAAAACCAACTAATGAACCAGGCTATTCACCTCTAACTCTCGCCAGGTGATAAAGCATAAATGTTACACCAACAAAATCTTTCAAACGAACTGTAGATTTGTCTAAAATCTCAACTCCAGAACAAATGTAACTATACAACATAAGATGCAAAAGTTTGGTACCTCTCCACTTCAAGCTATGAGCCAAAGTTCAATTTTCCTTGAAAATCAAATACTCGTGAATTGTAGTATCAAAATAAGCTTAAAAACATCAACTTTACCATGGCTTCAAGTAATCCCGATTTCAACTAACCTCTATTCTACTCAACCCAGAAGAAAGGAAACAACAAAACTTCAGTATCCCATCCTGAGAGATACTAGTAAGCTCACACATACAAGATTTACTAAGAAATTCTTGAAAAAAAAAATAAAAGGGAAAAAGAATTTAAAGCGAAAAAAAAATAATCATAAAAAGTGTGCACGAAACCAAAACTGAGAAATTACCTCAGCAAGCTTGTTTCCTTGTTCTTCAAACATCCTCGAGAGCTTTTTGTGATCAGCATCCTCCTCAGGAATTACTACAGCATCTACCATTGGCTCGTCCTTTCCTCCGATTGCATCCTTGCCGGAGCTATTGATGGTGGTGGAATCATCACGAATATTATCAGGAGATTCTTGTTGGTCGAAAGGAAGATGTTTCAATTGAGTTAAAGGCAGCTTTTTTGTCTTGTTCTTGCCTGGGTTCTTCCATGTCATCTTCATCCTTTCCCCTTTTTCTTCTATTGCTTTGGGATTTCTTGGTTCGCCCTTGCACAAACTCTGTTTGTACTTCGTAGACGGGAATTGAGAAGTTTTTTTTGCCTTTGTTTTCTTTCTATTTTCCCTTTTAGGGAAAATGGGTCTTTTCATCCCAAAGTTTGGGTCACACCATTCAAAACATCCGAAAGTTTAAGAACATGTCATTTACATCCCAAATTTTTTAAAAACATGTTACATTAGGATATTCGTTAGATTTTTAACTCCAGTTAATTAATTAGTGGTGGTACTTTATTCTGTTTCTCCTCCCCGAATTCTTTTAATCATTTAACACGTTCCACTAACTCTCACCTTATAAGAAAATAGCTAAACCTAATTTGGTCTTCACATCATCCATTCTTCCCTTGCTTAGAAAAAGAAAAAAAAAATTCCAAGATTCACCTTCTACATTGATAACAATCATGAGAGGTTTTGTGTGTGTCCTAATTAAAAAGAAATTGAATGAAATATCGCCGTTAATAACTTGAAAAAATTAACAAATGTCCTAATATTACATATTTTTGAAAAGTTTGGGATGAAAATGGCATGTTTTTAAATTTTGAGATATTTTAGATGGTGTGGCTCAAACCTTGGGATGAAAAGGCCCATTCTCCCTTCCGTTTTATTTATTGTTCTACCGTTTAATTTGGTTTACAATTATAATATTTGGAGTTTTTTAAAATTTTATTCTTATAAAGGAAAACTAGTTTTTCAGTAATCACGCACCTTGTGAGGGAGATTTCATATGTTATACTCCCTGTCCCAAAATTATTATTCAATTTAGATTTTTAGCTTTAATACAAATTATTATCCAGTTTAGATATTCAGTTTTAGTACAAATTGTGAAGAATATATTAATATAAATTCAAAAAATATATCACTTCGGAAGAGAACGTACAGTTAGGAACCAAAAAAATACTATTACTAATAAGAGTATAGTCTTTAGTTTTTTCCTTTTTGTATCTCAGATTCTCAATAAAATTTTATTTGATGCGTATAATATATATATATATACTAGTATTATGCCCACACGTTGTGTGCATTTTAAAATATTTTAGAGTAATATTCAAGTAGTACTACTACTTTTCTGTGAAAAGTGTCGTATGATTTTTTGCTGTTTTTTTTTTTTTTGTATATTATGCACCAAGTGTCCGAAATCAAGAGTGTCATATGTTTTTTTTTTGTATACTACGTACATGGTGTCCGAACAACTAATTCATATTCAAACCGAGTAGGTCCCTTTAGAAAAGAAAATCTCTACCAACAATCACTACTACATACCCATGCTTGGATTTAATCCAGAATCATAGTTAAGTTGGTTCAATACCTTTATCACTTTGACCAACTGCTTTTTGATAATATAGAATTCTTAAATACAGATTACTATGAACAACAGTCTAATCTGCTATTTGTTTAGTAATATTAGTAGATCAAAGTTTTTTTCTAAATACAAATTCATATGATCAACTGTCTAATCTGCTATTTATTTAGGGATTTTAGTATATCAAAATTATTTTCAATAATCGAAATTAAATCATGTATTAAAAATATAATAATTGAATTGCATATATTCATTATTGTTGGAATTGAAGGAAATATTATATATCTTGATTATGTTGTTTTCAATAAATCAGTCAATAACAATCAATTGTATTACCATTTTTACCTCAAAGTCAAAAATTTAAGAAGCATGTATTAAAAATACATGCTAGTATATCAAAATTACTTTTAACAATCAAAATCAAATAATGTATTAAAGATATAATAATTAAATTGCATATATTTTTATTGTTGGAATTAAAGCTGGAAATATTATAGATCTTGATTCTGTTATTTTCAATAAATCAGTCAATAACAATCAATTTGATTACCTTTTTTACCTCAAAGTCAAAAATTTAAGAATCAATTCGATCTTTCCAAGAAAAAAAAATACTTATTTAACTAAAAAATTGTTTTAACCTTAAGAATATCGTTATCGTAAAAGCGCATGGTGACACTACAAAAATGAAAATTTCGGCATTGTTCAACAACATTAGGTACTTTATAAATTCTGACATTACGACCCATAAGTATAGAATATTTTGATGGAAAAATCTCAAAATGTTGTAAAAGACCAGAATATATATGGAACTCAAATAAGATGTGACAAAAAATAAATATCATAAAAATTAAATATTGAATCCTTTAAGAGGCTGAATTAGTATTTATTAGTTTATAGATATGTTTAGGCATGAAGCAAATTGAAAATAAACTCCAACAAAAAGTAAATAAAACACAACAATAGAAAAAAATATTTAATAAAAAAAGCTTATAAAGCATCCTGAAATACATATCCATATCTTTTGATTAAACTTTTTTCCTTAGTTATGAGTGATTCTTGAGGTACTCATTTCAGTCATTTATCATCATGATGCCACACTTCTCTCGTAAAAAAAAGTACATAGATACTCATGCACTTAAATTAAATATATTTAGTTAGTTGATGTCTCAAACAAAGTATATATTTACCTTCAAACTCTAGAGCATGAGCAATTTTGTTTTAGTATATCTGGGTCATTTGGAGCGAGATTGATGCTTACTATTTTTTAATTCAACCCCTTAAAATTTTATAAAAATATCCGTGCAAAAGTATACTAAAATGAGGCCCTCATGATTATTTAAAAATAAAAATTGACTATTTACACTAATAAATATTTACCGATGACAGACTATATATAGAAATAATCTTTAAGATGAAAAATATAATTCATGTTAAAAAATGATGTCTCCCCACCAAAAAATAAAAGATATGTACAGTAGTAGTGAATTTTTACTTATAATCCAATGATGTCTCCCCTCCAAAAAATAAAAGATATGTTCAGTAGTAGTGAATTTTTACTTATAATCCTGGACCATAAACTACAAGATAAAATGATGAGTCGACAATTCAAAATAAAGTGAAAAAAATTCATGTAGATTTTCCATTGATGAACCTTTTGGGCACTGTTTCCATTGTTAATTATAAATCAGATTGAAGGTTGTCCATAAGCATCCACATCGGAATCAACCAATGAACATTTTGTCTGCATAAGCATAATTATAAAAATCAATTTAAACAAGAGTGAATCATATCAAAAGTATAATTTACAATATCAATCGAAACCCATTGATGAGAATCATGTAGCCTTCCATGGTGATTCTCCTAGTGAGGGGAATGAGCTAGTCTTTCATTCTAGTTTTGGAATGTCAAGTTTACTTTGTAGGCCAATCAAGGAAGAAAGGATGGATCTTGACTACCTATGTGATAGGGAGTTGGTTCAAGAGAGCTATGATCAAGATGATGAGAATGTCATTAACTATGGGGTTCAAACCAAAGGAGATGATTCACTCATGGAAATAAGTGCTCAAGAGTATCAAAGGAGTTTGACTCTAGGTGCTCCATGAAGATCATTGATCAAGCTAGAGAGAAGAATTATTTAGGTTCTTGAATAGACGGCCTATTTGATCAAAGTGTTCAAGATTGTGTCTATTGCTACATAATTGGATAAGTTGCAAACTATCTCAATTGTTTCAAGTGTTTTTCCAATCTTTTGGAGTCAATAAAGAGAATTCTACAAGTTTTGGGGTAAATTGGAGTTTTCTATAACTTAAGGGGCACAAGACCAATATTTCACTTTTGGAAGGGCGTTCAAGACATTTTACTTCAATATTTGGGAGCTGATTTTCGGATTTAGAGTTTGTCGAAGTATAGGAGTTTTATTTTCGAATTTTATCTAGTTAAATAAGTCATGTGGACTGAATTAAACTAGAGTATTTTTATTAGGAGTCTTAGATTCTTTCTAAGCATTATCCTATTTGAGGATAAGTCATTTATATAAGGTTTCCTAGATTTTAGATAGAGTCAAAGAGATAAAATACTCTTCTACTTCTACTCCTGTATGAGATAAGATTAGAAAATCCTAGTTGATCTTCTTTTTTGGTGCTGGCCGAAATTCATAGCCTATAAATAGGGTAGGATGGCCGAAAATTAAAGCACCCTTGAGTGGTCATTTTTGTTGTCTCTAATGAGAGTTTTTCCTGTGAGGAATTTTTGTTAAATGGTGTGTCCATTTTTCGTGTCAATTATGATTTAACCAAGAGGGTTTTCATCTTGTCTTGGATCTTTTGATCTTACAGAAACCGTTCTTTTTTAAGTATGCTTCTTGATAGAGTTGTTTTAAAACTAAACTTCTTATTTTCATACTACTTCTAGTAGTTCGATTGATGAGCCTTTCTTTTGGCTTGGTGTTCGAATTCATGATGCGTGTGTTCATGAGCTCCATTGTGGGGTTTGTCCTACTTTTGTTGGATGAGTTGTGCTTTGGCATAAGCATTTTGAGATAGTGTATGTGTTGCATATCTTTGTTGGTTATGGAGATTACTAATCAATAGTATTCCTTCATAGTTGAGCATTGTTTGCTCCTACCTTTCTTGAGTCTCTTGAATAATGACTGATCGAGTATATTGAATGGTGTCCTTACTATTCTTAATGTGGGTGGTTGTTTAATTCGAATCTTTCATGGATAATGTGTTCTTAGCTTGATTTGAGTTAAGAGATAGAAATCCTTAGATAAACGATCGTCTTACTGTAAATTTTCCGCACTCTTTTGAGTTTCACGGGATAGACAAATTATCTTCGTACTTTCTTGTTTGATGGTTGCATTAACGAAACTTGCTTCATCTACGAGATTGCTATCACCCATCTAACTCCGTTTTCAACTAAAAAACCAAAAATATACTTCGAAAAACACAACTTAAAAGATAGAAAAGGTAGTGTGTACATTCAAAGTAAAAGAAGATTGAGATAGAAGGGAAAGAGGGAAGGGAAAGAGATGAAGGATGCGAGGAGAAGGAAATGAGAGGAGGGGATGAGAACTTCTCTTTTTATTATTATTATTTTTTTTTGGTAACTCATCTCTTTTTATTTTAAGAAATCTGAAAATAATACTAACATACATTTAATTACCCAAACTTGATTTCAAATTATATTCGAAATATAATTTTGGAATAGACAAAATCCCTCCCCCTCTTTTTTTTCCGA